GATGCCATGTTACCCAACGTCACCGACGAAGAAAACCTCGATGTGAGCGAGTACCTTCATCGCGCCGAAGAAGCCCGACAACTTGCGCGGCTCCGTATCAAAAATCAACAGACGACCGACAGCCACCGTTACAACCTTCGACGACGCTTCGTGGAATACCAGCCCGGTGAACGTGTTTGGGTGTGGACGCCGATACGCCGACGTGGACTAAGTGAAAAGCTTCTGCGACGGTACTTCGGACCGTACAGGGTGGTTCGACGTCTCGGCCCACTTGATTACGAGGTTGTCCCCGACGGCATCACGAACTCTCAACGACGCCGATCGCGACCTGACGTCGTCCATGTCGCACGCCTCAAGCCGTTTCATGCGCGTTAACAAACTGAAACAGTGTTTTTTTTGTATTATTGTTGTATCGTGGTTTGTTCATTGTACTTTTTTGCATTATTGTTGTGCCTTCGTCTTTAGTTAGAGCATCGAGACGATGCATTTTTCAGAGGGGGGCAATGCCACGTTCCATTTCCCAAGTTTTTGTTATCGTCCCAAAACACCACACGATTCTCAGCGCAAACCGCGCCTGCAGTTTTCTAGATGGTTCCGGACTGTAGTAGATCATTTCGATAAGATCACGCCCACTGTGCGGATGGTACAGATTGTTCTGGAACGCACGCCGCCGCCAGCGATAGCACTAGAACATTCGACGGCGGGAGTATAAGTGCCGACGCGCTTCGCCGCTTGTCAGTTGTTGATCGAAGGCCGACGCTCCGTTCGCCGCTATCAGTTTGAGACTGCTATCTGTGCGAGACTGCTGCTGTAATTGGACTTTCTGTTTACCGGGCACAGGTTCGCCCAAATAAACAGTTAAATTCCAACAAGAAGTCTCCTGTCTTCGGCCACGTCACGACCCCGTGACAATACTCACCACCTCATCTTGTCCCCATCATCACCCTTCATTCCTCTTTCCTCCCCTTTTCCTTATCCCCAGTGTAGAGTAGCAGGCTAGAGCGAACTAGCTCAGGCCGACCTCTCTACCTTCTAATAAATTCTAACTCACTGAGTGTGCCACCCTGGCTGAGTACACATGCTGAACTACAGGCCGACAATTTGGTGACCGGAAGGAGTAATTCTGCTCCGTAAGTGTTCTTCCCCTCACTCTATAACACAACGCAACATATTGGTTCTACGCCCACCCACGAGCGGCGGCACATGTACTGTCGGCCACACGCTCCGACTTTCCTGTTTCAGTCCGTCAGTACTGTACTATCGGTATCAAATGAAACCCTTAAAGCGGAGCGCGTGTTTCAAGCATTAGAAACAGTATAGTGTTTGCCGTCCAGTCATCACCATTGACAGGCGTGCACATCCGGTTTGGCAGCACTGCGCGATCCCCTTATAAAGAGCGTTATCTCCGTTTCTGTCTCAGTTTTCGTATTATGACAATGGTGGCAATCGTGGGCGTATTTGGTTCAATCACTCACAATTCCTAGCTTTTACTTCAGCGTCGCAGTGAAATCAGTGTCTTGGCAAGATAAAACAAAAAGAGAAATATAATCGGCTGGCGGTTGATTTCAAAACGATCGTCGTATCTCGTTCGCCAGCGCTGCTTCGTTTGCACTTTCCTTTCAGAGAGTGACCGGTAAAGACTTCATTCTAACTGGAAATGCCGAGCGCTTCTTCGGAACAGAAACCGCTAATTGTTTCACTTTACCGGCACAAAGTGAAATAGCGTGATATTGCCAGCATTGTGAACCAAGTATTGTCTACTATAAATAGAATTTGCCAGGCATTCCGTGATTATGGGCTGCACGATGACAAACCGTGCTACAATACTCGCCTTCGGCTCTAGTCGTTTAACCTCTGTATTTTTTATTTTGTTCCTTTCAAACAGCTTTACTATACCTGGAACAAGAGCAGAAATACCGCACAATAGGGGGATCGCGCAGTGCTGCCACACCGGATGTGTGGGCCTGTCAGTGTGAATGGCTGGTGTACGGCACGCAATGCCATTGATAAGGCTTGTGCCATGTGCTCCGCTGTTCGCGTTTCGTTTGATGCCGATAGTACACCACCATGTAATAACACGGTGTTGATAAGAAGTCATCGTTCGGGCACTTGTGGGAAAGTAAACTGGGACTCGTTATCTCCGTTCTTGTTTCCACGGCTAAGACTGGTCGCTATCGCCGCTCCGCTAGAGCCCATGACCGTGCGATCCGCTCAGCATGGCTGCCGGAAGCAGAATGGGCCACGACTGCACGCAGAGCTGACGTCAACTATTTTTAGAAGACTGAAAGATGCAGTTACCCACGTGACCGACACTGTAGTAAATGCAGTACCTGTGGTAAAGCAGTATGAAAGCGTGAAGCCTTGCCGCACAAAATGCAAAAAGCCAGTTTTATGCTTAGAATTTGCGCTATCACATTTACATGACTATGATAATGATGTTTCTTTGCCACATAGCGTATTTCCACAATTTCCGGTAGACCACGAAGAAATGAGCCAGACAGCCGTTTCTATAGATATAATAGAGGTAAATTTATTATATGCAGAAAATGGAAAGTATACTGATGTTGTCGTCTTTGTGATGAATGGTAATGGCAGATGTGAACAATCGCAAAAGAATTATGAGTGGAACTATAGGGGTTTCGATTTTCTTCTTTATTTACGCAAGTCATACTTAACCAAATAAACGAACACATTCGTAGCCCTTAAACAGTAATTCAACTGCTTAACTACTTTTCTATGTTTGTTTCTCTATTCAGAGTTAGTGTTGGCGCTTTTAAACAGGAAAATGGCCGTACCGTCTTTCCCATTTTACCCACGGTATGAAACAAGCACAATTCGTATATAACCAAGACAGGTATGCATTTCGTGGTAAAAACACTGCTGCATGACCGATTCATGATCGCAAATGCTACATGACTTATTGGGAAGACAGCGCAAGCGACAAACCCAATGATGCATGGCACATAAAATCTGCATTGATAGAAACATCCCAAGCGCGCATGCTTTCGCAGGAACTGCGAGTTGGTCACCCTGGAGTCAGCAGAGTGGCGCAGTAGAAGCGTGCTGGCCCCATAGCCCAGAGGTCCGTGGATCAAAACTACGCTCTGCTAGAGTATTTTTTCTTTGAAATATGTTGCGCAATGTCTTCACATTTTGCTGATACGACGTATTCATTCAAGTTATAATGATTGTGAGGTGCCTGAAGAAGATACATGAAAGTTAGGCATACAGTCTTTTTAAACTAGTCCGTAAAATCACTTCAAAAGTAGCTTGCTTTTAAGAGCAAAATGCACATTCCAGTGTTGCAACCAGTAGCGTCCTGAGTCCTTAACTACGTAACACCATGTACATTTTTTGTCTATGTTGGAGTTAAAAATACATAACTGAAGACCTTCATACCACATCTGCGTAAATGATGAATAACAAAATAAGAAAAGTTCCTTTTCAAGGCACTGGTGAGACTCAAACTCACATCTCCGCTTTACTCCACAGGTGCTTTAACAAACTAAACCACCACGCCCGCTATTTGTGCTGCGTAAGAGGCCCACCGTGGAAACACAGACTTTCGAGGACGACCTCCTTCAGGCGCGTAATGTGAATGAAGAAACAGGGGTGGTAGCGCAGTTTGAAGCTTACAAGGCGCTCTTCGATTTATTTCTGCATGTTTTGTGCATTATCCACACATAGATGTGATTGCTCACAATCATTCTTTTCATTATCCACGAACAACGCATGACGGTCTATTGTTTTCCACAGCCGTGGCAGAAAAAAAGTTTACGAGGAGCCATTGTTCAAGTAGTGGAATATCCATGTCCATCACGCAGTCTACTTTGATGTTAACGGGGTATGGTAGAGTAGATTGTATATGTCAGTTTTAGTGTAATATCTTAGAAACGGCTGCAAATGTTCCCTTAAAATCTCAAGCGATAACAAAAAAATGCCGTCTAGTTATCAAGTGCAAACTTTTTCCTAATACCTGGGTTGCTTATTCCTATTAAGACTCGCTCCTAAATTTTAAAGCTGGGTTTAATTATTCTATGTACCTTTTCTCTGCAACTACAGAAAAAAATGTAATGACATTCAGCCCTGCTGTTGTAGAGGACTCATAGGTTACATCAGAATTGAAAAAAATGACCGTGTATCTGCATATTAATTTCGAAATGTCGTTGAAAGACCATAGTCTTGCGTGTGGAGAGAGTGAACAAAACATTTATTTGGTGCTCTGCGCAAGAAAATCGGTGAATGCTATTCTGAAGGCACTGCGTTAGAGTGCCTAGAGCGTGCAGCGGAGGCGAATGAACGCATAAAATTACGTCACACGTGAGACATGAGCGCCATCTGGCAGTTTTCTAGGAAAATGAAGTACGTGGCTTTAAGACGAGTGTGCGCGGTCGTCTCAGAGGTGATGAGGTGTAGAAAGCAAAGCGATGGGTAGGTGCCACAACCGTAGTGTTTTAGCAAAGCACTGGAAACACTTGCCTATTCGTGCAATCGTTGCATGGTCAGCGCAGCGTGATACGCGCTACGGTCCTTAAAATTAATTATGTATGCATTTTCTAGTGAAAGACGTTCATGCAGAATATATACGTGCTGTTATGGTGCCCCACACATGCGCAATAATTGCTTTTTAATTGACAATTGCACAAGTATGAACACTGAACCTTGAGCAACATTGGTGGGCGCTGCGGATGGGGTCGGCCATTTCAAGTACCAGATGCCGATAAGAGTGAACAGACAGACAGACAGACAGACAGACAGACAGACAGACAGACAGACAGACAGACAGACAGACAGACAGACAGACCGAAATGTTTCGTTGAAATTCCCCTAAGAAAGACTATCGTCTTTAAAGAAATATCATGCCTTCCTCATTCTACTCCTCCAACTTGCATAGCTCGCGCTGTCGCAATAAAGAGGCTATCTTGTTTACATGAGCTCGACCACGCTGCGGCACTGCATCACGATTAAGCTGCAGAATTGTTTTTGTCGGGGCGACTGTGGGCGCCGGGGCTTAGTTGGTTAAAGCGCCTGTCTTGTAAATAGGAGACCGTGAGTTCGGAATCTCATCGGTGCCTGTCACAAAGCACTCCTAACTCTTTTACTCTAGTTCTTTGAGCAGATACGAGGTAAGAGAATCTTCAGTTACATCCTTTTATAACTGCCACGTTGACCAAAAAAGCTACATAGTGTATATGTAATTAAGGAAGTGAGTCATTTACAGGCATCAGTACGCTACTGAGTGTCAGACGCATAAATTGGAGTGTGCATTTTATCATTCGTGGCTTCTAAAAGCCAAGAAGCTACTTTTGAAATGTTTTACGGCCTAGTTCAAAAAAATGGGAGATCCCCCACACTGTGGGAATCAGTGATATGCGGAGCGCGAATCAGGAAGGTTGAATTGTCACAGTAAAAGAGCACAACTTTACGAGGCGCACGTAAATTATGCCATACATGACATTCATTTCTTGATTACGTTTGCGTTGAGAATTTGGGCTCATCATCCAGGCAAAAAGCTGTTTGCGCCGCTTTTTGCTTGGGGAGTCCCGCAACAAATCTGTTGGAAATACAGTGGATTCTGATTGTGATTCTGATTCAAGCCACGTAATACCAAATTTGGTATATGTTAAGCTAGTGAAACGGCCATGAGCGCGCTTTGAACGTAGCAAGTATTCACGTTTTACGTGCAACGCATATCATGATTACCATGTGTGCACCACTCATATACCTTTATCATCCATTCACGTCATGTAATACCAATTTTGATGCATGTGAAGCTAGCGAAACGACCGCGAGTCCATCATGAGCCTGGCATGCAGTCACGTTCTTACTTGACACGCATGTCATGGTTTCCATCTGAGGGCCCATAACTTTTGCTCACCATGCAGCCATGTCACGCCAGTTTTGCGATAAGTGATGTAAACGAAACCACTGCAGAAGCAGTACGACCTTAACAGGCAAATCAGGACATTCATGACATACATGTGATGATTTTCATGTTATGACTAGTCACTAATGCTCGTCATACAGTCGAGGTATGCCACACCCGTTTTGGTATCAATACCATTATAGAAACGGCCAGGAGAGCTAAAAGTCATGGGCGGCTAGATAGATAATATAGATAGATAGATAGATAGATAGATAGATAGATAGATAGATAGATAGATAGATAGATAGATAGATAGACAGATAGATAGATACGGTCAAACTCGCCAAAGTTCGCTCAGAAATGCATCGCATGGGAAATGCTGTATGTCTAACTTTCTTACTTATATGTTCTTCGCGCAGCTCGCAACTAACTTCAATGAATACACAAAATGTGAAGAAATTGTGCAAAATATTCACAAGAAAACTTTTAAAAGAAGTAGCTAAACGTGGTTTTGATTCACAGACCTCTGGGTTATCGGTCCAACACGCTTCCACTGCGCCCCTCAGCTGACTCTGCGGCGGTCGACTCACGGTAATTGCAAAAGCATGCGCGGTTGGGGTAGTTCAATAATGCAGATTTCATGTCTGATTCTTGAGTTTGTCGCTTCTACTGTCTTCCCATCAAGTCATGTAGCAGTTGCGGCCTTGCATCGGTGATAAACAGCAGTTTTATCACGCAATCTATACCCGTCTCAATTTTATATGAATTTTTTTTATTTATTTATTACATACTGCAGTTCTATAAAGACCAAGCAGGAGGGCAGATGGGAAAGTTACATGTATCGCATGGTAGCGGTGAATACATATCAATTAGCATGTTTTGGTCATACACACGAACAGTATAGATAAATAAACAAATACACACATACATACATTTATACACGCATTTTCAGGTAAAAAAACGTTGCACAGTGCAAAACTCATTGTAAACTAGAAAGTTGCAACGATCACACTGTCTCTAGGTCAAGCAAATAAAACCATTGTACAGTAGAGCTCGTACATTCAAGGACCACCCTAAATTTTTCAACTTCAAAAAAAAAAAATCAGACAAATACGCACTTTTCCTAACAAACAATGAAAACCCACGACTAAAACATCCTCAACTGTTCGAGAGCTACACAAAAACTAGAAAAGCACCAGCAATCGGTCAGAAAACCTCTGAAACAAAGACGATAATTATTCTAGGGCAGCAAACACCTTCGCTGAAAAAGCGGCCGCAGTTCGCGCAGAGGAAACCGAACTCGGTAATGCATTCCAATCCGCAATTGTCCGCGGGAAGAAAGAGTATTGGAATAGATTTGTGCGAGCTTTGTAAGGAAGAAGATTGTGTGAGTGGTGATGTCTCGATGCACGAGGTAAGAACGGCTTGACACAAGGGTTTGCGTTAAGCTTCAGGTGGCCATGAAAAAGCGAAAACAAAAATTTTAGGCGGGCTAGTTTACGTCGCTGCTCTAAAGTTGAAATTCCATTTTGCACCATCAACGAAGATGGGGAATCAGTGGATCTGTACTTGTTGAAAATAAAACGCACTGCCCGGCGCTGCACCATTTCTAGCTTTTGCTTGTCTTTCTTAGAAAAGGGGTTCCAAACAATGTTGGCGTATTCAAGCTTAGGTAACACTAAGATCTTATAAGCCAACAGTTTTGCTTCTGTAGAGGCAGCTTTAAGTTTGTGCCTTATGAACCCAAGCCTGCGCATGGCAGCTGCGCAGGTATTTTCAATGTGCTTAGACCACGATAACGTATTGGTAATTCTCACCCCTAGATATTTGTATTCCGGGTTTTCTTTGACAGTCACTCCATCGATACAGTGATACAGTAAGAAAACTTAAGCGGCTCTCTTTTATTTGCGATTCGCAGTAGAACAGTATTGTCCGAGTTTGACTTCATGGACCACGACGTGCACCATTGGCCAACACGTGTCAAGCTGTCATTTAAGAATATTTGATCCTCAATACATGTAATTTTTCTAAAAATTATGCAATCATCTGCAAATAATCGTATTTGAACATCAGACGAGAAAAATTGAAGTTATATCATTTACATAAATTAAAAAGAGAATTGGGCCCAAGACGCTTCCCTGTGCAACACCCGATAAGACAGGTAATGCGCCTGACGAGCACCCAGAGATCTCCACATATTGAGTCCAATTGGAAAGGTAAGATTTAATCCAGTTAACAAGAAAATCGGGTATACCAATGTTTAGCAGTTTGCCTATAAGCTTACTATGAGGAACACGATCGAATGCTTTGCTGAAGTCGAGGAATACTAAGTCAATCTGGCTGGCCAAATCAAGGGCAGAGGCAATCTCGTGCACCGTAGCCATCAGCTGTGTGTGCGTCGATAGCCCTTTACGGAAACCGTGCTGAAATTCGGAAAGTAAGCCGTTACGTTCAAGAAAGTCTGTTATGTAGTGAACAACAATGTGCTCCATCAATTTACAGCATGTTGACGTTAAAGAGATTGGGCGGTAGTTTTCTATCCGTAATCGATCGCCCTTCTTGTGTGCGGCCAATATGCGAGCAACTAGCCAGTCATAAGGCAAAATGGCAGACGCTAAGGACAAACGAAAAATTTCAGTTAAAATGTGAGATATTGGTTCGTCGTATCTGCGCAAGAATGCCTTGGGTATGCCATCTGGTCCACTAGATGACTTGTCTCGCACACTTATCAACAGTGATAACACGCCGTTTTGACATATAAAATCATCAGGAGGGCAGGCTGTAGGAACCAAGGGATAACTGTCATCGTGCGGTGCGGAAAATACTGAATGGAAGTAGTCGTTTGCCTTGTCGGCCACTAAACGGGCATCGGTAATAAGAGAATTATTATGTTGGATTTGTTCTAGTTTATCACTTTTGGAGGCTAGATAACGCCAAAATTTTTCCGGGCTTTCTTTGATGAAGTTTGGCAGTGTTATTCCAAAATATTTGTCTCTAGAAGTCGCCAGAGCTGTGGAGAGCTCAGTCTGCAGCGTCCGTATCTGCTGAACACTTACGACCTGTTTTTTTCTTGCGCGTTTTAGTCTTTTTTTTTAGTGTATTACGTTCCGATCAATCCAGGGACTTTTGCGCCGTGACTTGATGCGGCGTAAGGGAACGTGCTTGTCAATACAGACCATCACAGTTATCTTGAATGTTTCCCAAAGCGTTCGTGGATCAGTATCAGAAATATTGTCAACAAGCTCCCACAGTCTGTCAAGTAAAGATTGATCATCAGCACGCGTAAAATCTTTGATTGTTTTAAGTACAGGCCTATTAGGTACACACTTATCAAAATCGCATGTAAGAAGTACTATTTTATGGTCCGATACTCCCGGCTCCAAACTTAATTCATACTCGGTAAATGCGTTGCTTAAGAAAACAAGGTCTATTATTGAGCCGCTGTCACCATGTTCATGCGTGATGGTGCGTACTACTTGTTGTAAATTGCATGCTAGCATTATATCCACCAATGGGCAATCGAGCAAATCAGTAACATTTTTCCGAGACCAGTCGATTAACGGTAAATTAAAGTCACCTGCCATTATAATTTTTTTATGAACCAGGGAAGACATTAACCTGTACAGAGAAGATAAGTACTGAGATGGCGATGAGGGCGAACGATACGCAGCGCACACTGTAAGAATGTGGCCCCAGCAGTTGACTTTTAGAAATAAACTTTCATGTTCATCAATTTGGGGCAACAATGTAGACGAAAACGTGCTCTTCAATATTATCGCTACGCCACCACCGCGGGAAACGCGATCGCGGCGAAATATCTGGTGCGAGGGACCGATTAGCACATCATCCGTGATCCGCTCGTGAAGCCAAGTTTCTGTTATGATTGCTACATGCGGGTCATATTTCAGAAGCAGATCTTCCAGTTTATCAATTTTATTTACAACACTGCGGAAATTTGCATTTGCATTTAGGACACGCAGCTGCCTCGAGTCACGCTGATGTATCTGTCAATTGGTTTTCCGTGACCTAGGAGCATTAATGATAACACGGCAGTTCTTGGAATCATCCCACGCATAAAGGGTCCCATCAAGTTTCAGCTTATCATGAATAAGATATGCTTCCTTGCCGTTAGCTTTATCATCCTTTGCTGTTTTCCACAAAAGCTCACGCTTGCGCAGCGTAGCTCTGCTAAAATCGTTTTGCACAAAT